TAGAGCTTCTGTTCTTTTTAGGGGACTCATTTTCAGTTTTTCAAAGAAATCTGCAGGGCTATTTTTCCACACCTCCAAAGTTCAGCCTTACAAGTTAGTTTTGCATTTTCTGCTTTTCACGATCCGAATAGTCCCAAACACATTCAGTGATGTTGAGGTCTGGACTCTGGGGTGGTCAGTCCATTGTTCAGCATCGTTTGATGTGTCTGTCTCCTTTTCTCAGTGAGGGTCTTCTTGAACAGCTACACATCCTTTCAGACCCATAGAGTTGTCTTCTCACAGTGGAAGGATGGGCAGAAACACCTGTGGATGTTTTCAGATCTGAAGCAGCTTAATTTTCTGCTCTCTCTCAAAGATGAAAGCTTTAAGTGCTGTTTATCTAATGGGGGCAGTTTTGGTGTCTACCGAGGTCTTCCAGGTGGTTGTTAGGAGTCTCATTTTCTCTGTAACACTTGATCATTTTTTGAACTCCAGTTTTGGAAACGTGTTATTTTTCTTGGTGTCTCCCCTTCCTTATGCAAGTGGATTATCTTATATGAAAAAATGAATAATTTGTAATTAATGGCTGTTTTAACTGGAAATTAAATAATTAAGGGTGGTCTCTGATTGTGCACAGTACAGTATATGGTAGGTATATGGAAGGACAGTATATGGCAGGTAGAGTGGACCTACCAGCACATAGGTTATTTCTATTATAATAAAACACTACCTGCTATCACTCCTCTTGCCAGTTAAGAGTAGGTCACCATTTAAAAATATGCCCAAATGGACCCAGTCCAGGTTTAAGGTTTAAACACTTTTTATTGCTATTGTTTTTAGGGTGAATTAAGGCAATTGTTCACTCGTCTGTTTATTTTAATAAAACATTTGTATTTCACTTATACTCACCAGGACAGCATGATATGCCCAAATGTAAACACCTCCTCAACCAACATTTCTTCTGAAATCAAAGGAATTAAAAGGGAATTTGCTTCAGTAGCAGCCTCTATTCTTCAGGTCAGGCTTTACACTGTAGGTTGGAGCATTGCTGCGAGGACTTGATTGCATTCAGCCACAAGAGCATTAGTGAGGTCAGGTACTGATGTTGGATGATTAGTTCTGGAACCACTCTAACTCATTCCAAAGGTACTGGATGGAGCTCCATCACTCCAGAGAATGCAGTTCTACTGCTCCACAGGCCAATGCCAGGGGGCTTCTTACCCTTCCAGCCAATGCATGGGCATGGTGACCTTAGGCTTATGTGCAGCTGCTCCAGAGTGTCCCATTCTATTGGTCATTGCTTTTCTATGGAGGTTATACAAGCTGTATGTGTGCAACTAAATACCTTTGGAGCTGTAGTGTGTGTAGGTAATATATTAACTGCAATTGTGATATATTAAAACACATCAGTGTAGCAAAGGGCAGTAACATGATAATCATTTACGATATATTATACAGGCCTAATTTCTGTATTCAGATGCTTGTCCGTATTTGCCCTGTCACATGTACAAAGTAGCGCCTCTCAGAGACTTAACACGCTGGAGCACAAAGTAAACCGAGTTCCCCTTAATTAGAGGCGTGAAAACAGCCATTTGCGTTAAGCTCCTTTTCCCCTGCAGGCAAGTCCTCCCTGGTAATCTGTGGACACAAACACTCCTCTGAAATCCGAAACTCAAAAGCAAGCAAAGAAAAGCACTCTGTAATTGTCCGCTTTGCGAATAAAATTGCAGTTAACCCCTGTAACCCACTGACCTCCACTGCTTTTTCCACAATCCCCTGAGTTAAGACACAGTTGAATTCTATTAGGTTAAACTGACTAAGCATACAGAAGGTTACAAAGCCCTTAATGTCAGACAGTCCAACATCACTGACCAGTGTTCCCCACACAAAGTATATTTAGGCCACCCAAGTACATTTATGCCCAATTTTAACACCTTTCAATTTCTGTTTATATTGCTATGAATTAAGTGTTCACAGTGTCACTGACACAAAGCATCACTCTTTCTTCCTGTGGTCATTTCCACAGCCTAAACCTTCACTTTAAGTGCTTGAGGTGCTTCACATATTAAAATGAAAAACAAAAAAGATTCAACATTCACTGATTCGATGACTTAACTGAATACGTGACCAGTGGGAAACACTGCTTCACTACTATCACCAACAACAACACTTTAGTTAGGCTATTTGTTTATTAAGGCGCATCTAATTACACACGATTGTACAAAATCTGCAGAATAACAGTTCAATTGTAAGGAAGGTTAAATTAGACACAAAAGCAAATTTGACCCGTTACAAAGCTTTATGCATATTTTGCAATCCGTGATACAAAAGTATGATCAATTATATGTATTAATTAAATTCTGATTCTTATACTCTCTTATATTAAGAAAGAAAGTGCCCAAAAAGTTCTCTAGAAAAACACTAGTGTCAAAAAGCTCCAGCTATTAAAAATAAAAAAGTAAAAAAGTAAAATTAAAGTAACAGCTTCCATTAACTGAACGACCAGTCCTCTTTAACAGTTCAGCATTACGCTGCGTATTAGGTGACATAGATGACTGCATTGAACACAGCCTCCAGTCTCTAATAAAGTCATCTCAGGCTAGAGTCAGGCTAAAGTTTATAAACATTGAGTGGAAGGATTTCATTGTAGGTTAAGGCTAGAGTGAGGTATGGATACAGAATACATGAATGGTAGTAAAGAATTTGAATAATTTCCCTTATGAAGGCTGTAGTGAGTAACAACAGCTCAGGCACTTCAGCTTCTGTGTTGAACAAGTCTGCCCTCTAGTGGCACCTAAGGTGGAACAGCATTCATGAGTTTCTTCTCAAGAGTTTTTGCAAATACACTAGATACTCCATTGTTTTTCCAACCTGATTTCTGTCGCATCTGTAGCACACATTTGATTACCATGAACAATAATTTCCATGCGTTTCCCACACTTACAAAGGGATCCAATGGGTGATGCGGAAATGCTGCTTATTGGCTTCTATTGTAAGCTTGTTTTTGAGTCAATATTTTCTTACGTTCTTTTCTAAATAAGGGGGAAATTACAGTCCATGGTAACCATCCATATCACTGCTGTCGGAACAAAACCTTGTATCTCCAAAATGGTAACTTTACAGGAGAAGCCAAAAACATGCTTTATTTTAATGTAAGTCAATGGAACCAGAATTCTTTCAAAGTCATTTAGGCCCACTTGTTTTGTTCCATTCATTGTGAAATTTACACACATTGTAAAGGGCAACAGGCATTTTCAAATTATGTCAAAAACTGAAAAACAAAATTAAGATACAAGGTTTTCTTCTGAAAGCAGCGATGTGCTACAATGAGCAATCCTTCAACTCAGATGTAAAATGAAAAGCACAAATGGTTTGGTGGTAGTCATTTGAGTAAGGGTTCTGCATTAGTGGGCCTTGCTATGCATTTGTGAGGAAAGACAGGTATATAAGTGTATTTGAGTACAAATCTACAAATGTGTTGGAATAGCCTCGTTTTCAAAGCAGCAAATGAAAGAGTAACAGAAAGCAGCTAAAAACGCTGACAAACACGACTGAGAGCTGAAACTGATCCTAAAGCAGTGTGGACAGGGGTTACCACCCCACTCCCCATCAGCTTTAGAGGACCAAATGTCAGAGTTCCAGGAAATTCTTTAGAGTTTTTGACAGTTGTGCAGCACTTAAAGCCCATTTCAGTAATATATATGGTCCTTTATGGCAAGCCTGAGAGAAGTAGAACTGTATGACCTGTGTAACTTGTTTATACGAGTGGTCAGAGATGAACGCTGATGGAGGGTCCCTCAAAGTGAAACATCCATCGCTGCATCCTTCTGGCACTTTCACATCTTGGTTTTCTCAGGTTAAGTTTTTCCCAGGTGAGCTTTCCTCAGTAGTGAATTAATGGCAAGGTTATCACAGGTTACGGATGTGTTTGTAACAACTAAAGCTCTCCCCCAAATTAAACGTCTAGTAGATAAATTTGCTTTCTCTGTGCTATTTTGTAGCCCTTCTCCCCTTTTGCTCTCTGCCAGACTTTAGACCATGCTAGAAATGCCACTGCTACTCCACACCACTAGGTGGTGACAATATGGGAGGCAAATCCAGCCAAAAAAGAAATTAAAATTAAAACCATAAAATGAAAATGCAAACCTCTTTTTGCCATTTCTTTTTCCAAACATCTGCGCAAATATCCTGCCACAACTGAAAATGAAATGAAATGCCTACATTTGCAATTTCATTTTTCACATGAGCATGAGCCATTTGTGACAAAAATAAAAATAAATGTAAAACAGCTATTTGTCATTTCATTTTAGTCGTTATTCTGGGTTTTTCATGGCCAAATCTAAAATGAAAAAGCTAATAGAGAAAAGAAAATCCAAGCTTCACTTTGGCTTTGGCTTTTCTCCATGAAGTGCAGAATACGGGTCAAAACTAAAATTAAAATGCAGTGTTTACATTGTTATTTCTTTTTCACAGCAATCGGCTGCAGATCTGACAAAGTGAAAATGAAAATGCAAAACTGATAAATCAACAGCAAAGTGACGGTTTGTGATTCAGTTTTCGGCGTCGACGCGCTTTAAGTGTCAGAATGAAAAGGCAAATGCAAACGAACATCAGCGCCACCTGCTGGACTTTTACTTTTCATTTTCGACTTTTCGATTTCGTTTTCAAATTGACCAACATGCAAATATATGTTAATTAGCACTGGGCGGGGCTACGGGGTACCTTTTGGGACATCCTCAGACCTCCGAGTCAGAGCGGCATCATTCCTCAAGCTAAACGACTTTGAGCAGATCTGAGACATGACGATGGATTTTCTCGAGACTCAAAGTCGTTTAGCTTGAGCAATGATGCCGCTCTGACTCGGAGGACATTTTTTTTTATTTTTGTCACAAATGGCTCGTGCTCATGTGAAAAATGAAATTGCAAATGTAGGCATTTCATTTCATTTTCAATTGTGGCAGGATATTTGCGCAGATGTTTGGAAAAAGAAATGGCAAAAAGAGGTTTGCATTTTCATTTTATGGTTTTAATATTAATTTCTTTTTGGGCTGGATTTGCCTCCCATAGTGACAAAGAGCTACAAGTAAGTGTCCTCTGAACTGTTGACGCTTTCACTTGAGCGGCATAGAGTGTGGTTATCATGCGTAGCAGTAAAGTCCTCGCTGGCAGGTGCTTTGGGTGTAAGCAGAGGGGCTAAGTCTGTAGTGGGTGGTGGAGCCAAAACAGGTGATGAGTTTTCCACAATTTCATGGACTTGTGAGTCCTCAGGGATGGGAACTGGTGTCTTAACAGATCCTGAGGTATGGAGAGGTGGGTAGTCTTGCAGGTGCGGACGCCAGTTTTGGAGTGGCACTACAGGGGGAGCTGGAGTTGGTGGTGGAGGAGGTGGAGTTAGTGGTGGTGGTGGTGGTGGTGGCAGTTCATTAAGAGAGGGGCTTAGTGGTGGGGGCAGCTCGTTAAGACAGGGGCTTGGTGGTGGTGGAAAGTACAAAGGTTGAGCAGATGGGTTTGTAGGCTCAATGAATGAAGTGTTTGGTGCAGAAGAATTCTGTATGACTGAATTGTTTGGAGACAGTTTGAGCCCCTCTATTGGAGGAAGTGCTTCTTTAACGGGCTCCTGCTGGTTAGTCAGTGAAGGCTGCTGCAATGGCTGAGATGTTTTCTTTGAAGCTGCAGGATTCGGAGGTGCCTGGTTAGGTGGCTCTGCTACTGCTGATGGCTGGCCAGGCTGATTAGCAGGGGCTGCTTGCTGGGCAGGTGTATGGTCACTGGGTAAGGCATATGGGTTTGGAATGTTTGGAACAGGTGCTGGATTTTTCCTGAGAGTCCCTCGCTTTTTACCCCGATTGAAGTCAGGGTTGAGCTCAGGGGCAGATGGGTAACTGACGATGATGGTAGGCTTCTGACGGAGATCTTGCCGTGTGTGAGGCTCGGCGTCCATGATGATCCGAGCACCGTGCATTCTGGGAGCAGCGTTGTATCTGAGTTCTCCATGCGTTTTTCTCCAGCGTTTAAGCTGTACACGGTGCTCCCGCTCCACATGACGCGCTGAGATAGGCAACTCCAGCACCTGCAGCACAGGAGAGTTTTGTTATTTTCAAATAAATTCAATGAATATACAATACTGAATAGAGACTCATTCTAAATACAGAACATCTAAATAGAGAAGAGAAATAAACCAGACATTGGAGAGAAGTATTTAGATCAACCAATGAAAACTGATTACTCTTAAAAGCCCATGAAGCCTATTGTTAGAAGCCTTATCATTGTTTAAAGCGATACATATCAAATTTACACATGTTCCACTTTACCCAAATATAGTCACATAGTGGATAGATATGGATATACTGAAGCTGGAGGCTTACCTTTGTCCATTTCTATTGACAAGAGTATATAATACAGTGCTAGAAACCACTTAAGCAAGTCTGTTTAAGATTACAACTCTGGGCAAGTATGTAATAATTTAGACGTCCTTCACACAATGCCACATTTGGGGTAAGAGGGGAAAATTGTGTAAATTTACTTTTTTCACCAATAACTTTACCCTCTTTTCCCATAGAGTCTGGCTGGAGATGTGCACTCTCAGCCCCAGTGACGTCACGTGCACATGCACTCTCTGCCATAATGGCAAAAGCAGCCCAACGGCACATTAACTTTTGGCTGCTTCTGTTTAGCGATATCATCACTTAATCCATTTTTCGTCCATAACACAGCAAGAGAATTATATTTAATGTACCTCCCTGTTGAAAAAAGTCATAGAACCCATTAAAATCTATATAATCCATTAATATCTACTGGTTCCTGGTGGTTTTCAGTAGTCACTATGGGTATTTTGTGCTTTCCTGATGGGCTGATATCACAGTATAAAGGATTCAAATAATTTAATCAGTTTTTGTGACTGATTCCATTTACAGTTGTTCATTTCCTAATGGTCTTTAATGGCAACCATCAAGCCAATTCCCGTTAGCAAGCAAAAACATCAGTTTTTATTCCTAATGGTTCTAATGGTCTTCAGCATGGCTTTCATGAGTTTCAGTGGTAGCCTGTTTGTTTTTTCTGTGAATAAAGTCGACATTTATGTTTTATCTGATGTCATCAATAGGCTGGCAGTGCGTATCAGGCTGAGCGTGCATGTCTGCAGCCAGACCCTTCTCCTCTTTTCTTTAACAATACTAAAATCTAGTAAGACAAACCTCCATCCTCTAAGAGCACATTCAGTATAGCAGTCATCAGCACCATCAAAATCATTACAGTAGACATGTCATGGTTAAGGCTGGCTATATCTTAGCCTCTATATGGAATAGTTTATTTAAGGACAGAACACTGTCTGTGTGTGCATTTGAAATTGTTACCTGTTGTACAAGAAAGGCCTCTTGCATGTATTTGGGCTCCAGGGCTCTGAGCAGCTCCATAGTTTCATACTGACCAGGACAGGCCTTCAGCTTCTCACGAGTGCCCAGCATACACTTCAACAACACCAAACCCACACGGAATATTATCTTCACACCTGGCAGAGAGAGACACAAAAATAGTTAGAGACAGTAAAGAAAGAAAGAAAGAAAGAAAGAAAGAAAGAAAAAGAGAGAGAAAACAAAAAGAGAGATGTGGAGCAAAAAGATGAAAGCTGAATCATGCATGGATGTGTACTTTGTAAGCTTAGACTATAATGTAAATTTAGACGATCATCATCTGAACATTTTTTAAATAAACAATATAAACTTGATCCAAATTCAGTTACAAAGTTCCACATGAGTGCTACAGAGCCTTACTTTATAGCTTACACTTTCATATAATTACCATGTATAATTACCTACTGGGTTGACTTCTAATAAATACATACATACATACATACATCATCTAAACCGCTTATCCTTCTGGGTTGCGGTGGGGTGCTGGAGCCTATCCCAGCTGTCATTGGGCGGAAAGCAGGATACACCCTGGACAGGTCGCCAGTCCATCGCAGGGCAGACAGACAGACATACACATTCACACACTCACTCACACCTAGGGGCAATTTTAGCATGTCCAATCGGCCTGACTGCATGTTTTTTTGCACTGTGGGAGGAAACCGGAGTACCCGGAGGAAACCCACGCAGACACGGGGAGAACAGGCAAACTCCACACAGAAATGACCCTGGTCGCCCAGCTGGCAATCAAACACAGGCCATTCTTGCTGTGATGCAACGGCGCTACCCACTGCGCCACCGTGCCGCCCTGATTTCTAATATTACTTATTAATTTATAATAATAACTATATTCTGCACTGACGGCATGTAAGACTGTTAACATCCAGTTGATTTCTGCATTTGTTTAATACAAAATATTGCTAAACAGGCTCACTGGTATCCTTCTACTAAACAAACCTGCACATTTTATCACACTACCAGAGAGCTGGAGTTTCTTTGTTTCATTTGCATATTCGCATGTTCCTGCATTCTTTGCCAAACTGAAAATCTACTTTTTAATCTTTCCAAGTGACATTCAAAGAATTTATTTGTATAATCAATTAGTTGGTGGCGTTCTGTTTGTACTGCCTAAAATATGTTCTACTTTATACATTTCTGAACTAACCGTAGATTAGAATGATTCTACAAAAAGAATGGTTAACTAAAAGTGAAACAACGAAAAAAAAAAAAACAGTCATGTGGCACGTTAAAGAAAACGACAGAACAATAATTTGCACACAACTGTCACTTATTTAAGTTATAATAATATCAATATCAAGAAAATCAGCAAAACATCATTTGACTTTTGGAAAGACAGGCAAAAGACAAACACATGAGATCCAGAAAGGAAACAGAAATGATGTATGTTTCTCACCATCACACAGGAACATATCCCACACCCTGAGCACAGAGGCCCAGGGGAGAGTTCTGGAGAATGCACACATGAACCACTCTGTCATGTACAGGATGGGCTCGATCTTGTGCTTGTCCAGGTGCTTGTATGCTATAGGACACACACGCTTCAGCAGTGCATTCAGGATCTCTCCATCCAGCTGAATGGCCTCCTACGTTCACAGACACACATACAAAGACCAACACAAGATGGCGCTGTTGAATAACCTCAGAGTGTAGCAGGGTGGTGTCTGGCTGATGGCTGTAATACATAATTTTCTACAGATCCTGTGATTACGTCATTTCCAAAAGTGTGGTAAAATAAACACACCTGCAGTGTAGCCACGCTCCCGCTACTCTCTTCCTACTGAGTGCTACAAAATGCTGAACTTTCTGACGAAATACAGAAACAGTCCACAGCCTAGAGCATGCACTGTATGTCCAAATGTTTGTTGGAATTAGTAAATACCACATAAATACCACTTCTGCTTGTATACTTTCCATAGAAGAGCAATGACAATAGAATGGGACACTCTGGAGCAGCTGTACATGATTCTAAGGTCACCATGCACGATGCCAAGTGTCAGCTAGAGGGGTATAAAGGCCCCCAGTACTGGGCTGAGGAGCAGTGGAACTGTGTTTTCTGGAGTGATGGAGCTCCATACAAAACATGTGGATGAGTTGGAGTGTCCAGAATTAATCATCCAACATCAATACCTGACCTCATGCTCTTGTGGCTGAATGCAATCAAATCCTCACAGCATTGTTCCCACAGGTGTTGGAAACTGACGTAAAAGCCTTCCCAGAAGAGTAATGGGTCAAAGTGGGACAAATGCAGCAAAGTGAGACAAATTCCCCACTAACACCCTCAATTTCAGAAGAAACACTTGTCTACAAACATTTGGACAGTTTAGCAAAACTAGTGCACAGGAGCCTTACTTCTTGATTTTTGACTGAATACAGCAAATCTAAGATATGATTGTAATGAATGGAATGTGAAAAATGACTCCTGACGCATGAACTCCCATAACACATCAGCCAGAGAATGTGCTAGCTTAGCTTGTAACCAGAAAGGAAAGACAAACATTCATATCTTGGAAGCTGGATTGAATATTTTCAGAAGATGCTCTGGATTGTATTACAACAAAATATTGTGTAAGTTGTCTTGTGCAGTTTTGTGAATAAGTAAATTTAATAGCTATATAAACAAAGCAAAAAACGGAAAACACTTTTTTTTGAGGCAAGTTGGCACAAAGTATAGCCCTTCAATTAAAACCTTCACCAGAGGAAGCATAATTTGATAGGCCGACCTTTGTTTCTCTAGCTGCTTTTAATTAGTGCTCAATTCTTGGCTGGTTAAACTGTTGCGTTGCGTAAGCTGGAGGAATTATTACAATGGCTGCATTCCAGAGAGTACACCTCGTATTCTTTTATCAGATGGGCTTTACAGTACGGCTTTATCCAAGATCTTGGCAGTTTAGCTAACCGGTGAGCCAGGGTAGATCTTTGTTTACAGTGGTAAACAAAACTAAGGAGATTGACATGTTATGATCAGTGCAATTCATGTCATGTCACTGATCAGCCAAACAAACGGAGCAAACGCATAACTTCATAACCAAAACTTCCAAAAATCCCAGATGGTTAATGAATACATTAACATTAACTTTAAGATATGTTAGTTTAAAGAGATTTATTCCAAGGAATTGTGGGCCATTTTTCTCTGCTTCGGGTGGAAATGTTTCACACAGCGTAAAAGAACAGTGGGTGTTTTCAAATGGTGTTTGACGAAAGGTTTTGATTGACAATACTAAATATGTTTCAAACCTACTTTACAATTTTAAGGGTCATTTTTTCAGACAGGGATTATGCCTCACCCATTACTATTAGTCCTCAACTACACAGCGTTTTGAATGGAGATTTCTCCACTGAAAAGAAAATGTAGTTCAGGCTTCATCCCTGTCCGGGATACTGACCCTAAACTGTCTCGGGTTAGGGTCATCTTAAATGGAAAGCCTTTTTAAACAGCCAAGCTCTATCAGTTTCAAACAAACTCACATCTTTGTATTAGACTTACCAGGCCTGCACTGTAGTAACCAGGGAGGTATTTCTCACAAATCTGAACCAGCCCCCAAAATGCATCCTACAGACACACATATATACACACAAACACAATAAGTGAAATATTTCTATACAATAATTAAATTATTATATAAAATGTTCCTTTTTTAGTCAACACGAATGAGAAATCATAGTGCATTTTCCTTTCATGCTGTATTTCTGAGCAAGACAGTTTCAGGGAGGGTCTCTGAGCTCGCTGAGTGTTTTCTCTCAGTAATAGGTTGGGGGTGGGGTGAAGGGTGAAACAGGATATTGTTGGTTAATAATATTTTTCTCAGCTCGCTGGTGCACAGTGATGCAATCAAAAATCAGAATATGTTGTAGAGACAGGCGAAAAGAATGCATCCTTTTTTTGATGGAAGATTACAGGAAAACAAGAATTTTGTCTTTACATTATATGTTATGATAAAGGATGGAGATGTAGGTCTAGGAAATCAGGGAAAGCAGTAAAATCTGCAGGGCTTTCTCCTTCAAAAGGCAGTGAGTGTAAGTTGTGCAAGACTGACCTCAGCAGGCATGTGCATGAGCAGCACTGCAGCTATGGGAGCCTGAGCCTGGCAGTAGCCTTCGTCCGGTCTGTACAGAGTGTAGGCCTTCAGCACTCGCAACAAGTCCTGCTGCCTACACACACAAACAGATAGAGAAAGAAATTTATAATAGAAGTAACATGATCTTACATTCAAGACTCCACTAATTGCAGATTTTTTATGGTCTATATTGACTTTTTTTCTAAGCATACATTTTTTTTCAGTTATTTCAATGACTGGCTTTTAATGAGGATGTCCTTAACAAATTCAATTCAATTCAAAGCAAGACAGTGAGTTTTCTGTGAATGGCTGTAGAATTACAGCTGCAAAGTTTCTTGCTCATGTGCTGCTCAGAGGTTCTAACATTTCAGCATCTTCCTGAATTGTCTAAGTATTCACAAACACAGACTTTTAAACACTGACCCGTGTCCTCCTCGTGACACAAACATCTCGTGGAAAGGAAACTGTCGGTGTAAATCTCTCTCAATCACATCTATCCACTTCGGATCTCCTTCCATGCTGTCCAGCTCCTGGAAACGACAACAATGCAATACGGAGTTGTGACAGATCTGCCTTAATCAGTTATGAATTCTCGCAGAAATTAACAAAGAAAAAAAAACCCTGGCCAAGGATACGTAAATCAGAATTATTAACTTAATAATAATAATCAAATAAACAAGAAAACAATATATCTTGTGTGTGTATATATATATATATATATATATATATATATATATATATATATATATATTATAACTGTCACTGTCGTGTCTGTGGCCTCTGTGGCTAAAATCAAATGGTTTGCTCTTGATTACATGATTACAGTGGTTTCCATATGCAGCTTGCCTTGCAACCGCCACGAGTGACACACACACACACATGCACACACATGTAGTTTGGACTAGACTGTCAAACAATTATTCATTAACAGACAAAATATTAAGATAAACAGGTGTATTTCTCTGTTTTGTCACACATGTCCCTAGTGGTGCAGACCAAGGATTCCCAGTCTTCTTAACACCACAGGCTAAATCACAGCCCATGATATCTCTGATAAAACAGGTAGAGGAAGCGATGCCACTAGGGATGTGAATTCTGACTCATTTTGGCATTCAGGTATCCTTAGGAGTTCACATACACATATCCAGTTAACTGCAAGGAAAGAGAGGGAATAGCCATAAGAAACTTTTGCATATCTCTCAGAGTGACATCACTGGCATAGTACAAAAATACAGTAGTACGCATAGGAACATTTTCCTATTCAAACACAGCCGAAGGAAATCAGTAGGAATTTGTGTTGGCTGAGTAACTGAGGCGTGTCACGTTGGATGCTGATGAGGACTCTTTGCAGTAGTGGCCGATATACCTGTTCATCTGGTACAGCGGTTGAGATTCTTTTTATGGTATTAGTTTTGTTACTATGCACATAAATGCAGATAATGTGACATACCAACAGCACAAAACATGCTGACTCGCTCACCTCTCGTGAAGTGAGTTGCAGCCCGAGGTAAATTAGCTGAGTTTGTCAATAGAGACTAGCTGGCTAGCCGCGTGCAGTGCTCCTCGCTCAGCCAGCTGCTTCAGGCAGCACTGCTGTCTCTGGCTACAGGCCGAGAGGCTCCGCAGCTTCTCAGCTAAAACTGATAGTGTGAACAGCCTCTAATGTTTACTAAATTCCAGCAGAATCTGATGATCATAGATCAAAGCTCAAATGTGAGTGATGCACACATGAGACAAATGACCTGCGGGCAAAAAACGTCATTCAGCACTGAGGCTGAAACTTTCTTCCTATTCGCCAGCTTCTCTTTCCTGTTCCACCTTCAATGGCGCAGCAGTTACATTCTGGCCTCTGAATGGCCTCTCTTCCACTGTCGAGCCAAATGGTTCACGGGGCCGTTCTGTACCGTCCTGCATAGTTTCTTTTTCCATCTGCTGTGCCGCTAAAACAGAACCAGGAAATACTTAAGAAAACTACACAAAAGATTGACTAACTGCTAACAGGCTAACAGCTGCACACAGAACCCACAACAACATTCCCTCTGTCACCACAATGATTCCACCGTCATTCCAACACTGGTCCCTCAGAGTGCTCTCAGATCCTTCATCCTCTAAATGGGTGGTATCTGGGCATCCGGCACTGAAATTGAGCCTGTATTGCGATGAGTTGCGCCTGTAACCAGCTAACTACACTCGCATTAGCGTCACCCAGCAGGGTAAAGTTCTAAGCACCACATAACAATTATATTAATTATCTTTCTGTCACCTCGACAGCACATTCAGATATGAGTTATCATCATCTAAAAAGGTGTTTTAAAGCATCAGTTCGCTGGAACTGAGCCTGTACTGTGGTGGGAGGCACTGTGCACTCGCGTTAGCTTAGCCGAACTGGCTACAAATTAAAACACTACAGAACAGGGCACTCCAACACCATTCAGTCGACTTTTCTCTCGCTGTTCTAAGCTTTTACCATCTACGCTTGTGATAACAGAGCACCGGTTAACTGAATCAAACCCGTACTGGACTGTTTGGCTATTAATCTGACTAGACAAGCTAAGAGAAGCTGACTAACATTAGCTTAGCTTGGAGGCTACAGCTCCAAACACCACAGAACCGGTTTAATTTCGGCTTCCTGTACCTCCAACAACAGCTGCTAGACTTCAGTTCCTCAGAGTTGAGTCATTATCATTTAAATTTGTGTCAGTTTGTCAGAATCATTTAAATTTGTGTCAGTTCTGTGGTGAGCAGAGCTGGCAGCATGCTAGTCAAGCTAATGCTAATCAGCTACTCTTTCCTGGTTAACATTTACAAGATGGTGTGATGTTGAAGCTTTGACATTTATTGAATGGTGGATTTAAAATTGTGCACTGCTTTCAGTTATTTGGCATCTGAGCAAACTTATTTGATTGTTTTTGAGTTTGAAATAACAAGGTGGCATAATACTAGAACCAATCTACGAATAGCTGCATCATTACATCATCCTACCGAACGGTTCTGCGGCTCCAAGCATGGTTAGCGCTATGTCGGAAAAATCATGCTGAGCTTGAACAAGAAGCTGGTGAACAAGAAGCTGACTTCAGCTTCGTATCATTATTGCCAGGCTCAGAGAAGCTGCTGTGGGCTTTACATACACTCGCCTTCATCTCGTTATGGTTAGAAAGCAATATTGACAGGGTGTCCACAGATTTTAGTATATTAAATACTGGCCCGTTGAACGGTTAACCAAGTACTCAAGTACCTATGCACCTCTTTAGATGCCGCTACACACAAGATTATCTTATGTCTTACTATTAATGAGGAATGTTTTGTCTCCGAAAGGCGAGCTTCTCTCTACATACCACACACAATGCTTTTGGCTCATTAGCATCCCCAGTGGCGATAAATCCATATTTTATGTAGATGTCATCTTATTTGATACTGAACGCTGTTTTTATTCTTGTCTTTGGTGGGTTTTTCATACTTTACAGTCCCAATAAAAAGCCTGTGAATGTTTTCAGTTTCTTCTTTTTTTGACTTCAGCTGTAAGTTGACAATAAATTCTTACATACAGAGACATGATGTTGATAAGAATCAAGTCTTAATTAAAAAATACAATTATATTTATATTAATTACATTAATAATAATAATGTTACTACTACTAATAACAATATTACAGCCCAACAGTTACTAACTCCACCCTGCTTACAGTCAGAAACATTTGCAATCCAGTTTTAAACAATCTGGGGTCTGGTAGCGATCCGTGGCCTGGTGGTTGGAAACCTTGGGTGTAGACTAGAAATCTACCCTTCAGGAGAAAGTCTGTGTTAAAGTGTTAAAGCACTGCATCAAGCTGCTGTTGGTTTTAGACATTAAGGGTCTATTTTAGAAGTCAGAAACACTTGTTCAATCCTTGTAAACAATGAGAGGCGACTGAAGTCTGAAGCACTTTCCTGTGCTGGCTCAAAATGGAAACTCAAAACAAATCTACAAACGTGGCTTCACTACCTCATTTTCGATGACAGCATTTAGACAACGCTTTACTTTAAAAGGAGAGTAAATTGAAAGGCACACTGAAATCTTTTTTTTTCCTTGCAGAATTAAACAATACCAGTACGGAATGATGATTACAACCCAGGGAAGAAAAAAAACTGAGCAAGCTATTACTCATTGAGAGAAGGAAAGTGAGCGTCTCAGACCTTGAACATTTCGCTGTTTCGTTCTTTCTTCACTTTTCCTCCCGACAGGTAAAGCCACGCCCTGCCTCTCAACGATGGAGGGATTCCTTTCTGACATCGCAGCCTCACCTGTGAGTGAGAAGAAAAGCTCTGTTATATCCAGAATCAATTTATCACACAGCCATTCAGACCTGATATCTATGTGTTTCCCAGATGTGGTATAATACACTACCATTCAAAAGACTATGAGCTCATATTAATAGCTTAATTTATATGAAACAAACATTTGGGATGCACGCTGACTGGAATTATACTGGCATCGGTAAAGAAATCAGCAACCAGCATCAGACATCAGTCTTGATTTGACCAATATTTCAAGTCAGTGTTTGATGATGCATAATAGGCTGTAATTATCTGTTTACAGTAATTCTTGTCACATCATTTACCTTTTTTTTTTTTAACTTATTCTCTGTAATTTTAGAATTATCTACAGCTCTGTTTATCATTCTGAACACATCTAATTTCTGCAGTGTCTATTTGAAATCTGTGATATAGTACAGGAATCACATACTGTGATATTATTGATTATTATACCAAAATATTTGTATATTATTGACAACACTGACTGTAAACTTTTGAACAGAAGTATATATTGGACAATATTCACCATTTTCCCCTCTTTTTCCTGAAGAATACCTTGATCAGATGAACAGACTTAAACCTGTCCACTATCAGATTTTGCCAAAACTGGGATTCATTTTGATATCAGGAGTAAACAGGCTCAAAATAACTCACAGGCCTTTATCATAACACAATACAATGCACACATTAGCAGTAACAACACAGCATAAAACAAGTAAAACAAAACTTTTTCCATATGTTTTCACAAACACACACAAAATGCAATGGCAGGTTTGGTATTTAAAATAAAAAATTATTAAAATGAAAGTTTTTAACTGTTAAAAGAGACACTAGTAATCACAAAACATTTTCATAGTAAAAAGTAGTAAATAATTTCCCCCAAATCCTCTATTTGTAAGTCTCTTTTAAATGAGCCTGTCACAGACATTACATTTTAGCAGAAAATAGAAATAATTGTCATAAAATAATTTTTGTTCATTATGTGCACCTATTAAAGTAGCCTAATGTGGCCTCACTTCCTAGTTGTTAATAGTTAGTAGCTCCCAACTGATGACAAACAGCTTTAGCTCTAATAAAATAACATTACCTACTGCTGCCCTCTAAAGCTGTTATAGCATCAGTCAGGAGAACTTTTACAAAAATTACAAAAATGTCAGGCACATTGTTATTAATGTCAATACTTTTGTCCCTTCAGGCATATAAAAGGCATTAAATCCTACAATCCAGCACAATAAACACATTAATTCATGCTTCACTTTTTCAGTTTTTGTGCTTTGAGAAACGACACCTACGTGCATTTTTGTCTGCCTGTCATTTGTCAAAGGCATTTTGAAAAGTCCTACAATCACTCAAAGGCTGTAATCAAGCACAGGGGAGCTGCTAAATACATTTTTAACTAGGACTTTAAATTTTTTTTTCCAACATCACGGGAAAATTCAGCAAGATCTGATGCACATGCTTTGGTAGGCATACTTCGTTTAATAGGACTTTTTAAATAAAAATAAAAAAGCAGCAACAGTGATTGTGCCTTGTTGCAGAGCCACAATCCAGCTGTTTTCAGCTATTAAGCAAGCGCACAGACAAACATGCAAACACGAAATCCAACCATGACAGTTCAGAAAAACTCAGCTGTAACTCTACTGTTAATGGTTCAGAATGGTACTGTTCTCTTTACCTGAGGTTTCTTTCACCCAGTGGAAGCTTCAGAGAGCTTAAGAGAAGAAACAGTGAGCTATTGCAACATATAAACATACGACAAAACTGTGCAAGACGGGTTCATTGAGATGCCGAACTTGTCCAGACAAAACCCAGCTCGGGCTCTATTACTGAATCATAGAGGCTTATAGAACAAGCTGCTTTTGAAAGACGATACAAGAGGAAGGAGAAGAAAAGAGAAACAGAAAGAAAAATTAACAGATACAGTTCTAAACAATGAGGAATTACTCTTATTCCTTTCAAGGCCCGGCTCAGGGAAATGTACAAAGACCCAAAGGCTAATCCTTTCGTCATTAGAGCCTAAAACACTATATATATAGGGTTAGTTTTGCATAAGAATGTAATGTAGGGTAATGTAATTTTTACTGGCGTTTCTCAGTGATTTGAAAGGAGTAAAGTGTGGAGGCACTCGAAGAAGTGTTTACATGTGTTCTCTGTGGCTAAAATCAGGCTGATATGCAAGTGTGAAACTCAGAACATCAAAGCATGAAAAAAATTTACAGAAAAAAGGTTGATTTTATGCAGTGATGTTGACTGGTTAGCTGTACATTCCCAAGCTAATGATACATTGCATTTACCTAAGATAGCAAGACAGATGTTTAGAGTGAACAGAATAACGGCTAAATTAAATGTTTTGACGTTTTCTGCTCTTTTCTGGTGTAAAGGCTGTAAGTAAATCGAACAGCCACTTCAATCTCTGTCATTTGTACCAATATTTTTCAACTTTACAGATGTCCTGGCATCTCCCCATACAAAAATAATGCTATCTGAATAGTGGTTTAGCCACAGAGTATAAGGGTAACAATATTATCTTCACAATTTCAATAATTTTAACTTGACCAACTACATCATTGAACTATGGCAATTTGCAACTTTATCACATGTTTAACGAAGCAAAAGAAGCTGTCCACTGGTTTTATGATGACTTGCGTCAGACTCAGACACAACTAACCTTTATCAGAGCTTGAAATTAAAGCACAAATGCAATCACAAATATTCACTTGAAAATGAAACAGCTACTATTTGCACAGTGGGGAAAGTTTCATTCATAATGTAAGTCAAACTTAAGTCAAAACTGACTGATTTTCTATCTTGTTAGTTCATGTGCCAGATCATATTAAGCATAATTCATCGAATCACATGATTTAAAAGAAAAAACCCCTGTAATCTTTGATAGAACTGTGATCACGCCTCTAAAACGCCTACTGTTTTTTTATTATGTAACAGTGCACTAAAGAGCAGCGAAAAAAATAATACTATATCCAGCCCTTACAATATTTCTTATACCTCCCTCTTCCCACAAGCCCCACCTATCGTTAAGAGTAAAAGCTCAGCTATCTTAGAGACCCTCGCTTATTTCACTCGGAAACACATCACTGCAGGGAAGGAAAATGCATTATGAATTATGACTCACGTTGACCTCGACCCCCTCAGCTTAAGAGCCTGCAGAATTTTCTTGTTTTTATTTTGAATACAAACAAAAATATCATCTGGACAGTTTACTTATCGCGATTATGAAGTATTGCCTAATTCTAATAAAGAACACTGCTTTTCAGTCATTGAGCACAAAGACAAATCTTAAGGGAACTACAGGCAACTGAGCAACCAAATATGAGGCTCTAAATCTCAGTACAACAGCAGAGGAACGTACTCATCATATCACAGAGGTCTGTGATAAAAACTAAGTGAAAGATGACACTAAAATGGTAAGATCACACTAAACTACTGAGGTCATTCTAAAAGGCTAAAATCATGCAGAGCCTGACTGTGGGTCTATTCTTGGCACTAGCAAATGCTGCAGTGAATAAGCAAGTCAATGAAAGGGTTTGAAGAAGACTGAAAATTACAGCTCTTACCTTCTTAAATTTCTTGCTGATCCATTTGTCCCAGTTATTCAGCATGTCCAACCATTTCACCTCTCTCTGCCTCAGCACTTCTGGGGGCACATCCTGAGCCCTGAGGAAGGAGGGAGAGGAACTATTTAAAACACAAATTGCTTTTCGTTGGATTGCTTTTTGGGGATTTTTATGTTTTCGTGGAAGGAAGTCTGTCACGCTCTCTACTAGCAGTGGGGGCTGGTATACCTCAGGTGTTCCTGAAGTATGAGTTTTGTCGTAACTTTATGCTGGTACGCCAGAAATAAGGCAGACATAAAGGAATGGCCGGTCGGGGATTGTATCAGGCAATGTGTGTGAAGCAAGTCATGGCCCAGCTGGTACTGAAGCATAAATGACTAATATTTTCAAAATTTACTTCACTTGTTAAAATGACCACTGTTAATCTATAAAAAATAGTAATACCTACTACTCACTACACCTTCTTGCCAGCATACTGACCACTGCCTTTGGTCCCCCTCTCCAGGCCAGCACACACCTGTATCCAATTTTCTTCAGGACTTCTACTTAAACCCCTCTTACTCACTCAGTTCTTGTGAAGTCCCTCTCTAGTTCAGTGGACATTCTAATAGAGATGCATCGATATGGGAATTGATAACAATACAAATTTTTTCATGTACATTTCTGCCGATTCTGACACACATGCTGATAGGCAGACAGTTACAAAATGTAGAAATTGGGACTCAATCTACCTGGATTAGCACTATAGAGAAATGTAGCATTTATTTGTAGGGCAGTATAAATGCAGTAAAATTAATAAAATGCAGATATTCTAGCACAGTAGCCCAACATTGCCTAAACGCTCCACTCATCTGGAGTACAACAGATACATCATCATATACTGGCTTGAAATATCACTACAATCTAAACTTGAGTCTGATGATGTACTTTCTTTTACAATTATATTATTACTCTTTTCCACTGCAGTACTGAACGGCTCTGAGCACAAAAGGAAAACGTTCCAGTGGCTTTTCCACACAAACACAGTTCCACATGGAACGCTTAAAAACCGGGCTCAGCCTGTATTTTTGGCATGGTTAGCTGACCGTACTCAGGACCACAGAACTGTGCGGTGGGATGATGTATCTATTCGCTTCCACGTTTACGTTGATATTGTTCCACCACATCCTGCAGCATTAATTTAAAACCAAAAACAATCAAACAAGTTCAGTTCATTCAAACAGATGCCAAATAAATGAAAGCAGTGCACGGTTTTTAATCCACCATTCAACAAACATCAAAGCTTCAATCTAAAACCAATTTCTAACTGTTAAACCGGCGCTGCTAACCAGGAGAGAGTAGCTGGTGAGCTAGATCGTTAGCTTAGCTAGCATGCTGCCAGGTCTGTTCACCACAGAACAGGTTTGATTCTGACTAACAAAAGCTTTACTGACACAAATTTAGATGATAATGACTCAAATCTGAGGAAGCGAAGTCGAGTGGCTACGTTAGAGGAACAGAAAGCCAAAATTAAATCCCTTCTCTCGTGTCTGGAGCTGGATCCTCCTAGCTAAGCTAATGCTAGCTGGCTTTTCTCTTCTCTCCTAGCTAACTTATCATAGCTAAAGAGATCCAAACACCCCAGAGCAGGTACGATTCGACAAACCGGTGTTATAGTATAAGTATAGATGATAAAATTTTTTAACAGCAAGAGCGAAGTTAACTGGTGGTGGAGTGACAGAAAGCCAAAATCTGACCTGTTCTGTAGCGCTTCAAGCTGTGGCTTGCTAGCCTAAGCTAGCGAGAGTGTATCGTGTCTCCCACTGCAGTACAGGCTCGGTTCTAGGGAACCCCTGATTAAAAACATCTTTTAGAGGATAAAGACTCAGACGCTGTTCCCTCCTGGGCGACACTAATGTTAATGTAGCTATCCGGCTACAGGTAAAACCCACAGGCTGTTTCAGAAACAGGTGCTCAAATACCACCTGTTCAGAGAACAAAGAAGAGGAGAGCACGATGAGAGACTGGTTTTGGAGTGATCCATGGAATCAAACGTGTTTTGTGGTGGGATGGTGTGTGCGCAGCTACTAGCCTGTTAACAGTTAGCCTCTCGTTTGTGTAGTTTTCTTTAGTATTTCCCGGTTCTGATTTAGCGGTACAACAGATGGAAAAAGAAACCATAACCAGTCTCACGAGTCCGGACCAGCGCAGAATGGCCCAGTGTGGCCCTGAGAACCATTTGACTTCACAGTGGAAAGGAGGCCCTTGGCAAGGCTTAAAACTCTTGCCCAAAAATGAGAGCATATTTTAAAGAATATTATTATTACAATCAAATCAAACAGTATAAAAATAATGCATGTTTAAACAACCTTTTTTGAGTGATACACCATGATGCATTAATGCATTTTACTACCCTTATTTGATGATTAACTATATTCAGTTCAGGTTTACTATCTGCTATTTGTAGTATAAAATGCCTACTTCAGAATTTAAATTTGTGCCAGGGTTAAAATTTAAAAAGAATCTGAAACTGAAGTAATTTTAGACAATGAAACTCTGTTATGATGTCTGCAAAACAGCAGAGGAACTTGCTCATTATCAAATAAAAAAAAATCATAGTGAAAGGTCACACTAAAGTAGTACTAAGGTACTACTTGCCATTTGTAAGAATAGAATGTATGTAAGTATGTGCCAAGGTTAACATTTAAAAATAAAAGAATCTGAAACTGAAGAAGTACAACACGGGCAATGAAAGAATTACAAATGAAACCTACCAAATATGCTGCATGTTGTTGCATCAATTTTGTCCAACATCTTGCATGATCAATTCAGATCAAAACTCTTATTAAGCCTACTCGTTAAAGCATTGATGGACTGAAGCATATGGTCTCCCTGACCACAGAGGGACAAACGATTCATGTGCTAGGTGGCTGGGATCTGATACAACGCTCAAAGCACATGAATGCAGGTATTCAAGTTCATGTTTTTGTAGGTTCTGCATGCAAGAAATCCTACTAAATTAAAGTCTTACTCTTTTTATGTTGAGCAATATTAACATGTCGGCACACTTCCCTGTACACACAGATGCTTTATGTTTGGTATGTAGCCACAGAGCTCTATACTCAGTTTTGCAACATAACTGTCTGAGGTGAACTGGCCTTACCAGTAAGATGCGTCTGCACATTCATCTGAAATTCTTTGGAAGGAAGCGGAACAGAGCAAGTTACTATTGGGGTAAACAGAATTCTTTGGAGTGGAAGAATGAAAGAAGCAGCAAAGAACCTTTCAATTAAGTGTTTTTTAAAGAACTGTGCTTTGAAAGGTTGTTTATGAAACCAAAACAGGTTCTCATATGGCATCGCTGATGTAAAGCAGATTCAACCTAAATGTGTCCTTCTGCAGCTGAAGAGCAGTTTATGAAATGAGAATACGGTTATTATTTCATTAGCATAAATATTTACACACCGGCCTGCCACCGTGATCCTGTAATTATGGGATGGACGAGGGCGTGGTAGACGTCTGTAGTGAGGCCTCTCCTCCCACAGTCGTCAGACTAAAGCAAGTCATCTGTTTAAAGAAGTGAACTACACCCAGAACTACACAGGCAGCCTAAACCTCAAAATCTGAGAATGAGCTGATTTCACCAGTAAGTCAGTGGAGCTTTTTCACTGAGTCTAAGTTCAAAACTCAATTCATCAAAGTCACATTTCTGTGACTAACTGGCACAACTTAACCCTTAGAAGATAACAGAAGCTGGGGGTAATTTCATACAAACTCGTTTTCACTCATAGCTCACTGAAACAAGGACAATTCTGTTGAAAGTGTGGCCTTCTAAGCTTTCAGTCAGTCAAAGTTACATTTCTGTACATATGCAGAAAAGATTTCCAGCCTGATCTGTGGAATAAAAAACAGAATATTTATCATTTTTGCACATTAAAACAAACAGAACAGCCAGACATGTAGACTTGACTGCGTCAATACAGAATGTGACCCAAATATAAATGTAATTCATCATGTACATTACCACATTAACAATTTGCTATTTTATTTTCAATGAATTTACTGAATGTGGATTCAAATATTGCAAACTAGTCGCCAAAAAAGTATTTTTTGACCTCTGATCCAATATTTCAATAATTCTGTAAACAATAAGTAATAAAATACTAAATAATATACTGTAATTATCTATAGTTGTGTGCAAAAGTTTGAATACAGTGGGTCAAATTACATGTTTTGTTGGAAAAGGGTAACACATCCTGAACGTAGAACCTACTTATGGCATTTTTCTACCATTTTAATGCACAATTTCTATTTATTTGCCAAGTGTAACATTTTAGAAAACAATTTGACTAAACAGTGAAATAAAATATAAAATGTGTCATAACTTCAACATGTTGAGTTCCACAAATAAACAGTACTTGTGCATTAAAATGTGCAGAATGTTGTAGAAGATTTGATTTCGTTTCACTTACAAAGTCAAAAAAAACGTTTGCATAAGATTAACAAACGTTTTTGCACTAACTAACAAATTTGTGTCCAGTTTTCTGCCTTGAGTTTTTATCTTCAGTTTTGACACAAGATTTTTTTTTACTTAATTCTTTCCATTCCTAATTTTCTTAATTTGTCCAAGATTTCTTCACTTTCATATACAGCGTCCGAGTGTGCTACACATTATCTTAAACCTGCTGAAACTGCAAAAGACTAGCATATTAAATGAAATGTGTGCACTTGAGTGCAAGAGTTGGTTTTACATTATTAAAAATGTTGATTCCAAAATTTAGAACAGTAGTGCCCCTATGCAATTATTGGTGTAATTATGTAATTATGTAATTATGCTTAAACATTATAGCAAATGACAATAATGACTCCCTGATTCCCAAATGTCTGATCTTATCTGGCACTCTATTGAAACATCAGTCATAAACACACAACCAGGATGATTTTGTTGCCTGTCTGACATTTACATTTATGCTCTTGTCCAGAGTGAGTCACAAAAGTGCTCTGTGGCCTAGCAGGAACCTGTCAGCTTAAGATAGTGTATATAGGCTAAAGTCCAAAGCTGCCCTTTAGCTTGCCAGTGCTGATACCTACATACAAATATATACAATACACTTTAATAAGTGCAAGACCAGTGTTTGCATTAGTGAAACATTATTAAGATACAAAAAAAACTTCCTGCCAAATGTCCAACATGCTTTGGTGCTGAACTGTGGCTAATATGGGTTAAGGTTTAAGGATTCACTCATGAAGCCACTAAACCATAGTTTCATTCTAACTTCCCCCTTAAAAAACACAGCACACATTTTATACACTTCCTCTTTTAATAACAAACTGTGCTAGGAAATAAAAAAAAATGAATAAATAAATAAATAACACACCCAAACAAAAAGTCCAGTTAATAATGTTTACTGATAACTGATAGGCCATGTTACTTAACACCAGGGCGGACGGGCTAAACAGGGTTAAGTACTGGACAAGAACAGTAGATTAGAGTCAATTTAATTTTACTGAACACAGCCCTCAGCTTTACTCCACAGCTTCCTCTTTAAGAATAACACGATACTAACCAAGCGAAGTGTTATCTGAAAGCCATGGTTCCCTTTTATCAGCTCTGACCAACCAACAGTTCAACTAGCATATTTTTCCCAGTGTGTGCTGAGCCACAAAAGAAATGAAATAATCACTAAAAAGACTTGAAGCAAATGTTTAAAAAATTGGAGCCTGTTTTGAATGAAAGTCTCTCTCAGCAGGGCTGGGCTGGCATGACCTCAGGGCAGCAAAGCCCATAAAGCAGAGGAAACAGGAAGCCTACCGTCCACTCAGCAATGCTGTACAACTCTCACTCATTTATGTAACTCCAGAGGCAGATCCAGGGCCTAACGCAGGCCTCAAGTGTGAAGAGTGGCGTCAAATCTAATATCCACATACGGTGTTCAGATAATGTTAAAATATGGCACAAATATAATATCTTGACACTGATACTGATTATACACCATAACTGTCACAATGTTGAGCTTTTATGAGGTTTGTGAACAAATTTGTAAAGAAAAAAGGCAAAAAAAAATCAATACGAAAAATCAAATGAATTGGTAAAAAAATTATAAAAAAAAAGATAATGGCATAACATGATGCCATCCAATTGGCCACTTCTTACTAAGGAGTTACTGCACACTGGTTCTTGTTGTTTAGGCCTACAGACTCTCATGAATTGGTCCAAACCTTTCTTTTTATGACACAAAAATGATCTATGATACAATAATTTATCATGACAACAACAACATATGGTTATATTGCCTCCCCCAGATAATACTTGGGTGTAGGGTTGAAGGATTAATCATTTTTTATTGAAACTGAAATGTCAAAGAGCGTGGTTTTCAAATCACAAGAGCTGCAATTCATAATTATATCATACATTAATCGACGTTATCAACAAGATTTAAAATAGGAAATTTAACCTAATAGGGCAGAGCTTGTGAACTGACAGTCTAGTGCACTATAACCGCCTCAAGTGCTGGTATTCTTGGTCAAAAAATTACTTGGAGCTAAGTTTACAGTAAGTGATTGCATTTAAATCATAATCACAACATTGCACAATATAGAAAAATCACAATCAGATATTTTTGGCCCTATTTTTTTAAACATGTCAGCCTTGCTTTAATTTGTGTGAACATTCCATGATGAACCGACCAACAGAAATGGTCCAAGCTTAAGTAGAATAAAACCTTTTTTAACTTACATTTTTTTAAAACTTACATTTCTTTATCGACATTAACTTAAATTCTAAATTAAGAAGTTTTTTTTTTCTTCTCTTGTACAGTTACAGTTTTGGAGAAGGTTTTGTTTGGGCAGCAACAATATATAGTGCACAAAAGCTCAAACGTCACTTTTTTCATTCACGCATTTTTGTGCTGATTAATAATGTATGTGGCTCATCAGTGACACAGTACAACAATCCCTTTGGTAAAAAAAGAAAGTGACTCTGCTCACTAAGTGACACATACGCTATCTACACTCTTTAAGCAATCACTCACCAGATGCCAGAAAACACAGTTTTTCATAGGCTTTTTAAAATGGCACTACTGCTTCACTACTGCAGTTTGTCTGTTCCAACCCGTCAGCAAACTTCATAAAAGTTTAAGATCACGACTGATAACGTTTCATGAAAACGTCTGATGGTGTTATGATATTATTTTTGCTGTATCGTTTACCCTTAGCCCCGACTGCTCAGTCCGTTATAATAAGCAGTAATGTGGCAGTTTACAGGCCTGGGTAGCGGGTGGAGGATAACGTCACTCAATCAGAGAAAACTGGTTTATCCAGACAAACAACAAACACAGCTCCACTCAGATTCACACCCTAAGTTTCTGCTTACAACCAAAAACTATGGCATAATCATCGTCACCTTGGCATCTGGAAATGTTTGTGGTGCTGACAGACATTCCAGCGTGCTTTGATCAACATATAAATTCGTCTCAAATTGCTTCACTCCAAAATAACCTTAAATCAACAGCGATGCATACTGTCACACTAATTCCGCATATAACATCAGTGCTGTGAGAATGTAACAATATACCAATTTCACAATACAATAGGTTTGTTTTTTTTCACCAGGATATGATATAATAAATGCCAGCATTCATTTTTTCTCTTTTGGGCAAAGTTGAATTGCTAAAACCAGACTGCAGCACCTGGTGAATGCATAATGAACACAAACAAGTATTTTCTACTGAGACAAACAAACTTAAGTACAGAAAAGTGCAAATGGATGTGGGTGCAGTGCAGGGGATGCAGTTTCAAATCGAAACCTTTCCGATTTATGTCTGATTGTTTAATATCATTACGGCTTATCATTGAAATTCATTATTTTCACAGTACCAGTCAAACTATGTCAGTAGGTAGGTAGTTAGGTAGGTAGGTAGCTAGCTAGCTAGATAGTAGATAGATAGATAGATAGATAGATAGATAGACAGACAGCCAGACATACAGACGGATGGACGGACAGACAGACAGCCAGACAGGCAGCCAGACAGAGCAGCCAGACAGACAGCCAGACAGCCAGACAGACAGACAGATAAATAGATAGAACTTTATTGATCCCTGAGCTCTTTAACACAGCACAGTTGATACTATTGGGCATAGAAATATTCTGTCTGCCAACACCAAATTTCAACACCAAAGCTAATAAGCATAATAAGCATTGCTCCAAAATCTAGACTGGTGATTAACGTCGGAACTCCTTGATTAGTCCGTCATTTTCTGTGGTTAGTAAATATACCCACTTCCAGCAACTCACAAACATTTCTAATTTAAGCCACGCCCACACGGTTTGTAATTTAAAAGAAGGTATCGAAAAAATATCAGTTAGGATCAGTATTAAAGTTAAAGTATGGGTAAAATATGTAACAAAACCCAACTCTAGATATCACAATTTTCTTTTACATCATAAAATGCATAACATAACAACCCAAGAAGAAACACATGAATATGCTTAGTCTGAACACTGCTGTGGCGGTATCAAACACAGCATCAGCGTGGACACAGTCCATCCAAATGATGCCACATCCGCAGCTGGTTTGTTGAGTGTGTTTATGCCATGATATAAACACTTGTGATAACTGGCTCACAAAGAGGGAAGATTACCCTTAGTTAGTCCCCTGGGTATTTCTGAACTTATCTCTCACTGCAAGACTGCTTTCTGTAAGCAAACAACTTTTCCCGCGAGAAAACCACACACACACAGAAGTCCATGCAAATTCATCAGAGCATACACACACAGATCAACAATGGGATGAGCTTTAAAGGTGTTAAACTGCTGCTGTTGCTGCCAATCCAATACAACCAGCTGCACCACTTCATCAAATATAATCTGAAGATTTAAAGAGGCAGGTAATGAAAAATCATTGCCATTTCTGTCCCTCTTCGGACAACAGGACAGAATGACTCTACAGGGCCAAGAGAATTTAGCATTTATTATTAACTTCTCACACAACCCCCCCACCCATCTACACACATACTGACACCTACCTGCACATATACAGACAGATACCCAACGTTGGGCTGTGCAGTCGCAAATACGTCTTGTGTGTACAATATATTAACATAAATATCTATCTAATAATAAGAGATAAGCAATACACCAATATTTTACCATTAGCATAGTAAATGTTATCATAATAAAAATATGCTTTTGTGAACATATCATAAATATCATCAAGTATGTAAAGAACACTGACCAAATTCATGTTTTATTACATAGAGTATAATAAGTTATGTTTAATTGGATTTACTGCAGTACAGTGTGTGAAATGTTAAATAAAAGTTCTTTGTTCTCTAATTACTCTAATTTTGAAATATAGCACTAGTAGTGCACTGTGTCTGTGTGTCAAAATATGACACACACATGACACATGAAAATCGTGAAAAAATGAGGCAAGGTTGGAGACTATAAAAAATAAAAAATATAATTATATATATATATAATAATATATATATACACACACACACACACACATACACAATCTATACAGTGGGAGCCCAAGAAGTGAGGTGTGGGGGTTAGGATTCCACTTTTTCACTCAAATTGTTATGCTGATAGTAAAATTTGTAAAGTATAAATTTACAAAAGAATGCAAAATGGAAACATTTTCACAAAAGTCTCTGACTTTTGGACCCCTTGTATGTAATTATGACTCCAGCTTACCTTGTCAAGACTATTTTGATATTTTGGACCACACCCTTCATCCAAACACACCTCCAACTTCATTCTCAATTCACTCCCTTTACGCTGCAACTCTTTTTTTGTTTTTTTTGTGTTTTATGCATTATAAGGACACATTTAAAACCACTGTCACAGACTGAGGGGCTGCATTTCAGCAGTGTATGTGTGTGTGTGTGTGTGTGTGTGCGTGGGTGTGTGCGTGGGTGGGTGTGTAAGATGTGCACTTACGAATCTGCTGAATACTTCTGGGCGCCTCCAATAAACCCGTACTTGTCCGTCTCCCTTGAGCTGGGAAAGCCATTCAGTTCCGAGTCAGATCCCAGTGAGCTCTCGTCATCCAGCTGGCTGCCCACAGTCTGTAAACTCACGGTGTCCGCGGGCTGCCGCCCGTTTTCCAGCTTTTCCAGCCGAGCCATCAGCAGCTTCAGGCCAGCATCAGCACACAGAGCACACCAACTAAACAACCAACCAGCTCAACACCCACTATCACAATGCTACACTCGCCCAATCACGGCTCGAGGCTCCTAACTAGAAGGACTAGAAGGCGACAAGACTCATTTTATCCTTTAAAGCGATCACAGTTAGTTTATACTCTAAAACAAAAGGAAAAATCTCGTTCAAATTGAACTGTTTCTGACTGACACTGCGGCTCAGTTCGTTAAAAGCTGTCAGGTCTCCAACCTCGCCTCATTTTTGATAAGCTGTGTTATTTAGACAGCTACTAAGCCGTTTCATAGGAAAAGGGTAACGTCTACATGTCGACCGAACTGAAATGCCTCCGTTAAGTTCAGTTTAGAGGTTGTTTAGGTGCCGTTCGCTTCGGCTTGTTGACAGGAAAGTGCGCTATGTCAGCTAACGTTAATGTTAACCTTTAGCAGCTAACGTTGCATTAGCATAGCGACGTGTCACTCAGAGTAACGCCAGCTTTAGTTCAGCTTACATAACCTACAGTAGCTACAAGAATGAAAAGGACTAAACACGCTGTAAACGCTGTGAACGACCGGCGCTGTTTCAGAAAAAAACACACAAATGCTGTGTTTTTATCTGCTACAACTACAGTTAGCCCGTTAGCTAGCTTAGCCTGCTAGCGTCAGTTTCTCACTCTATGAGACGTTGGACAGTTTCCACAAGCAAACCTTTGAACTTACAACCAAACCTAAGCTGCGATGAACTGGTTTGCTACCGTGATTCCCTCAAGGTCAGTGTTTTCATACGTTTCAGTTCACATTTGGTCTGGAAAAAATAATAAAATAGTCCTCAGGCGACGAAATGTCATTTTCGCAGTTTGCCAACAGTCAGTCTCCTCCTAATTGACAGCTATGCGCATGCGCAGATACGCATTGAACGTATGGGCCGATGAAGGCTGCGTTCCAATTGGCACGTCGTGTACTGGGACACTAGCTAGTGTACACTAGGTAAGAACACTAACTAATCCACCAGTCGGCCAGTCCGGTTAAAACTTAATTAGGTAAATTAGGTAAGCACTTTAACATGATCTTTTTTTCTGTTACTTAAAGGGGAACTCCACCGATTTTTCAAAATGGTTAGTATGTAAACAAACTCATTCAGAGTCATTTGGTGTGAAATGCTCTGTATTAGCGAGTCAGAATTGTTCAAAGTGGTGGTGATGGGAACCAGATGTCCAAAATCCATTGCTTGCTGCCCAAAAACATTGTTTAGCTGTAGTTTTAAAAGAAGTGGTTGGCTTAAAATGTTTTTTTTTTGCAGGCCCAGATAGCAAGCATATATAAGCCCGCTGGCTCGATAAGGTAAGCACCCCGTTGACTCTGTATGCCACTGCTGGTCCGCTCTTGGCCCACCCAGCTTATTGTCCTGCGTATTGCCCATCTAAGTAGTTTTTAACCTTCCCATACAGATTTTAAATGCACATGACAAATATTACAAACTGAGTATACAACTGTATTTACAACATTGCTGTTAAAATTATTTATTAAACCTATTTACAAATGATGATGAAAGAAAATACTGTAGTAAAAATAAGTAAATTGGACTGTGAGTGGAAAATGAACGCTAAAAGTGGCATTTTGTCTAACACTTTGTTTAACAGCCTGTGGGCCGCCCAAAAAAGCTGAGTAAAAAGCCAGTGGGCCGCCAGCTTTGCCATGAACAGGCCAACAGTGGCCCTCTGTCCTCTTGCTGTCTGGGGAGACCTGTGGGGGTGTTGTAAGGCCAAATAGTCCCCAAAGAAAAGTTAGTTTTTCGAATATACCACTCTTTTCCTTTAAAAGCATTAGGTAAAAAGCTCAGAAGACGTATAGGTCATTCTGGATAGTAAATAAATTGGATATTTTTATGTTGTAGATACTGTGACCACTCTGACCACTCTAAAGGACTTTGTTTACATCTCAAAAATGTAATCATGCAGAAAATGTGAAGAATCAGTGAAATTCTGCCGAATTTTACTATATGTGATGGATGCAGCTGTTGGGTTGGTCAACTTGTTGGCCATTAGCTAACTAATGTAAACAAGCTCTAATGCGAAAACTGCAAAAGAAACGTAAGTTAATACTACAATGTAAGTCCAAAAGCTCATAGAAAGAAAAGAATTTGATTAAAACTTTAATTTCTAAACAATCATAGCAGGTTTTATTCCAAACAGTTGACCATTTTGCTGCCCTTTAGGCACATTCAACTTTATTTCATGTGTGTTGTTTGATGCAGATAGCTATCTCGAGCTAAGTGATAACTTGAATTACAAGTTTAGCCACTAGCTAGGGTGCAAGTATGCATATTGAACACAGCCAATGGGTGTAGGCAGATGTGCACTTGCAGTTCAGTGGCCATTTACTGCCATCTAGTGAACTCTAAATCACTTTTTATTTCAGATATGATGGGAGCGATGTGGGAGTGTGATGTAAAATTTGTAGGTAGGTAAGTTGAGTCTTGGGGAAATGGCCATAAATAAGGAGAGGTGCTTTACAAAGTGGTGAACAGAGTATTAATGCAGACAGATGCAGGCAAAAATGAGCAACTTGAGTGAAATTGTTGATGGTTATTTATTTCCAGTTTGACAGTTAAAACATTCTGACATCCTCAGAGAATGCAAAACAAACCTGTTGGACTCATTAATGATGATTTAATATTGAAATAAGATTTATTATTACCCCACATACATTCACTGTCCGTTCCAAATGCACATAATTAATGCAACAATGCATATTACAGAATGTTTATTCATAAAAACAGCAGACGTGTCAGAATGGTCAATTCTAGGTCTTCTTTTATGATTCCTCTTTCTCATCTCCGTGTGTGATAATGTAACAAAGTGATTTGTAGTCGATATTCCCAGCCACGTCTATAGGAGCCACTGAAAAAGCCTGGTCCACCTGGAAAATGTACAGAAACACAAAAGACAAGGTGCTTGTATAAAAAACAGCATTGAGCGTTGCTGTGATTTGCATATTAATTTACCTGATTAGATTCTGTACTATAATCCTGCAATTAGGGCTGTGTATAGGTAAGAATGTGGCAATACAATCTGTATTGCGATATACTGTAATACTGCAAGCAAGGTGATATATTAACTATCATAGTATTTACACCACCATATCACTGCTGCTGGAACAGTTTATGATATAATATAGAAAGCTGCATTTTACATTGTGTGTAATTTTTATGATGAATGGACCAAAAGAAACGGCCCAAAATTACTTAGAATAAAGTCTGGTTCCATTGACTTACATTAAAAGTAAAGTATGATTTTTCCTTCTCCTGTAAAGTTACCATTTTAGAGATATGAGGTTTTGTTCCGACAAATGAATAAATGAATAAAATCTAAGCAAAAGAAAAGGTCTAATTGCTGAAGATAGATTACAACACTTCTCACTAGCGGTCAGGGGTTTAAACACAACACAAAATGAACTACTATATGCCACAAATTTTTGCATGTAAACTATGAATTAAAAAAAAATATTCATCATCCTCCGACCTGCAGTGATGTGGTGGAGGTGTGTTAGTGTGTGTTGCGCTGGCACGCGTGGATCAGTTTTAAACACCTCAGTGTCACTGCTAGACTGAGAATCGTCCACCAACTCAAAATATCCAGTCAACAGCGTCCTGTGGGCAGCGTCCTGTGACCACTGATGAAGGACTAAAGGATGAACAACACAAACTGTGCAGCAGCAGAGGAGCTATCGTCTCTGACTTTATATCAACAAGGTGAACCAGCAAGGTGTCTGTATCTAATAGAGTGGACAGTGAGTGGACACAGTGTTTAAAAACTCCAGCAGCACTGCTGTGTCTGATCCACTCATACCAGCACAACACACACTAACAAGCCACCACAACGTCAGTGTCACTGCAGAGCTGAGAATGATCCACCACCTAAATAAAACCTGTTATTATGTTATTGTGTTTATGTAGAGAAACAGATGAACTACAGTCTGTAATTGTAGAACTACAAAGTGGAGCTGATAAAATGGACAATGGGTGTGGTTTTAATGCTACAGCTGATCAGTGTATGCGTCTGCAAACTTGGATGAGTGGAAACAATGCATGCAGACAGCAAACACAAACCTCGTCTGGTGTAAATTTGTCTGCCTGGGTTATCAGCAGCCGCCTGAACCTGAGCACAAGAAAAATGACACCAAAATCCATTTAACTGCATGAAATATATATTTGTCTCTGAATGAAACAAAGTCGGTGTTTTGTGTACTTACTCGTCCTTATTGATGAACCCGGTAGCATTCGGGTCAAACATTTTAAAGGCGTTGAGGATGGTCTCCTCTGGGTCAGTCCCTGTGGGGAGACATAGTGTTTCAGTGAGTACCATATCGTCACTGACTCACTGACCTCCTAAACATGACTAGGCCAAAGTTCAACTTGTGGTGCTCTGAAAGCTTTTTTGCTTTCGATCTAAATCTAAAAAGACATTCATACCGTTGAGTTTTTCTCCGAACAGAGCGAGGAAAACAGTGAAGTTGATGGGTCCTTTTCCCTCAGACAGCATGGCCTCCAGTTCCTCATCACTTACATTCAGTTTCCCTGTACACAGAGCAGAGAGAGAAAGATGCACACACTTAATTATGTTAAAGACACTTAAAGTGGAATTCCACTCATTTTCAAAATTTCTGCATAATTAAATTGTTCTTAAAAATGAACTCCAGAGATATTTCAACAATTCTACATAATTAAAAGACTGAAAGTCATCCAGGGTGGTTTGATATGAAGCGCTACGTTCTAGAGAAAGTAAAGTTTTTACATGACGTGGTTAGAAATATGCTGCCCGATGTCTGAGACATTGTTTTATGATAGTTTTGTGATAAGGTTATGACTTAAAGTGTGTTTAAATACATTCATGGCGGAGGGGTACATGCAGGTTGTTGTAAAGCAAAACAGTCCCCAAAGAAAAGTTTTTTTTTCAGATTAATCATTTCACACCAAAATGCAACTTTCATTTATTTTTGTTTTGCTGACAAATGAAATAAATAGTTATATTACATCATTTTACGCTGTGCCAGTATACTGTGGTGTGCACACTGCTACTCAGAAACAACCGACTCTCTGTTTGAGGATCAATAAAGTATACTACATCTTATCTAATCTGATGTCATTGCTCTTTATATGTAAATGTCAAACATTAAAATTCTACAAAGGAAGCTGGAGGCTGTTCAAAAAAAGCCTAACCCACTCAGTGCATTCAGACTGTCCAGCAAACCTTTCACGTATTGTCACTGTCCAAAGCTTTAACTTGCATTAAAAGCTAAGAACGTTTTTGCCTTCTTTAAAGTGACCATTTTGGAGATACATGTTTTTCTTTGGTCAGTGACGATATAACGGCTTGGTCTTGTGTAGTGTTTAGTCATTCTGTACACTTAAAGGTGGCGACAGCTGCTGTAAGTAGTAAGTAAAAGGTTACTGGTCTTACCCAACTGTGCGTAGGTCTCCTTCAGATCCGACTTCTTAATGACGCCGTCTCGGTCCTGATCAATGCAGCCAAAGGCCTATAAAGAAACTCGTGACATCATAAACGATATATCATACTGAATGATATTTATCCCTTTATTAATATTAATATTCCTCACCTCTTTGAACTCCTGAATCTGCGATTGCTCAAACATGGAGAAGACGTTGGATGAGGCCCTCTGGGCATTCTTCCTCTTAGCTGCTGCTTTCTTACTAGACTAATTAAAGAAAAACAAGCATTTCTAACAAAAAAAGTCATTTATTTATCTTGTATGGTTTTATTTGCTTAATGTGTCTCATATATATACATACATACATATGAGAAGTATTAGGTAATTATAGAAGATCGCTTTATTATCATTTTTGTGATACAAAATTGTGATTTTGGAAATGTTCTCATGATCCGTGAGGGAAAACCTACCGCACTACTGCACGTCTTCAGTACCTTTAGATAGGGAACATACAGTGGTGTGCAAAAGTTTGAACGCCCCCAGTAAAATGACATGTTTTGTTGATTTTCTAAGTGAAAATAAATGAACACATCCTGCACATTTTAATGCACTATTACTGTTTACTTGCTGGACATACTGGAAAAAATGTGTGTTAAAGTGTTATGGCACATTTTAGATTTTATGTTTTATTTTTTCTAATATGTTAAACTTATTAAAAAGCTAAATTGTGTGCTAGAAAAATGAAATTTGTTCCCAGTAGAGGACACACTAACTAACATTTTCACTTAGAAAAATTAACAAAACATTTCATTTGACTGGGGGCGTTCAAACTTCTGCCACTGTAACTGTTCGACTCTTTTTGTTCTGTATTGTTTCTTTTTTCAATTTTTTTCCCTTCTTCTTAAGTCCTGTCTTGACTCACTTCTATTTAAAGAGTTATGAAAGTCATTTAAAGTATACAGTAAGACATTTTATATATTTTAAGAGTACATTTACAATATTTGTACCTTTGCAAGACACAAATATACCCTTTTTACTGACAGTGACAGTGGATTTGCTCTCTTAATCCAGCCTACATTCAATGTGAATTAGACTGTTTAAGGTTGTGATGATTCAGTCTTAGATAAGGATTCATATACAACGGCTCAAAAAAGTATCTGAACCTTTTAACCATTTGAAAAATTTAATTAGGTTATTTAGGTTTCTTCATAGAAAGTTGAACAAAATGATATGGTAGACATTCAGTTTAGAGAAAGACTGGAGAAGAATGCCAACCAGACTGCACTAAGGGCTCTGTAAAGAGGTGGAAATGTCAAAGTCTGGGGCTGCATGTCTTACAGTGGTGTCAGTGAGCTTGCGTTCATTGTTGGGATCATAAACTCAGTGTATGAAGGCAGTTTAGACAGAAACCTGCAGAAGTCTGCAAAGAAACTGCTCAAATAATAACAATCTGAAACACACTGGCTGCCTTTGGAAAGAATGTTTTGCCAAAAAGGAAAGTGCGGACTTGAAATGTCCTGTTTACAATAAATACCACATTGACATTTCGCTTCCTCACACAATGAGTTTAATGTGTTGGCACAAACGTCCAAATAGTTTTGGGAACCTCTGTACCTGCCATTGTATGGGTGACAACCCATAAACAGGCAACAGTTTTGTGTTCAGCAAAGATCGGCTCCAATGTTGTAGAGTCCAAAGAATTCAGTGATTTCCTGAAGGGGAATTCGACCAACATTTAAAATTTCTGCATACTATTGCTGTTGAGATGTGAATTCTGTCATTGTGGAGAAACTTAACGATTGTAATTTCTTTAGATAAGGCAAATTTAGCTATACAGCACCTTTCATACACAGCGGCTATTCAAAGTGCTTAATATAAGAGAAAACACAAAGACAATTCAAATTACAATGTAAAAATACGTAGGAGAATAGAAACTCAAAATATGACTAAATAGACACAATATATAAAAGAGAAGAAATTAAACATTAAATTAAAAATCAGTTTAAAAACTAAGTTAGAATAATAAAGTGCCATTAAAGGAGAGAAGTCAAGAAGGGCTAACATTGTTTTAACTGAGCTGAAAGCTGCTCAAATATGAAACATTTTCAGCTAGATTTTAGATGTCCAGGCTCTACTAATGTCCTCTGTCAAGTGGTTCCATTTAAGAGCAGCATAGTAGCTAAACGCTGCTTTTCCATATTTAGTCTTTACAGTGGTGGTGATAGGAACCAGAGGTCACAATGTCTTCAACTCGATTATAGCCATTTCATTTACTATCCAAAACCACCAGTGAACCTACGCGTCTTCTGAGTTTTATATGTAACGTTGATTATTTTGCCTCACAACACCCTGTTTAGAGCGCTGTTATAAAACAATGTCTCAGGCATCAGGCAACACATTCATAATGTACATAATAACTTTCTTTGAGGGAGCTTTTTAGACCACTGTGAACAATTCTGGCTCTGTAAGTTTCCCCAGAAGAGAGCATTTCACACCAAACCAAACACCACTCTGAATGACTTTGTTTACATCTTAACTATTTAATTAGGCTTGAAATTTTGAAAAATCACTGAAATTGCCCTTTAAGTTGTTATACGAATACTTAATGTATGTTTCGTTATTATTCTGTTTTAGCTGATTATGTTGAAATAGCTCTGTAATTCTTTGCCATTTGCTCATCATATAGTCTTATAGTCATCTTATAGTTTTTTAATACACATCTTAGAATAGTACACACTTCAAAAAGATGGTTCTTCAAGGGTTCTTTAGTAAAGAAAACGGTTCTATGTAGAACCATGAACACTCAAAGAACCCTTTGCACGCTTAAAGGGTTCTTTGCATCGTGAAAGTCGTCTTCAGATTGATGGAGAATGTGCTGTAGATGGTTCTATATAGAAGTTCTTTGAAAAGGGTTCTATATAGCACCAAAGAGGGTTCTTCTATTGTAACAAGCTTGACATTGTAAAAGTAACAGAACTCTTTTTGGTGCTATATAAAACTCTTTCCTAAATAGTTCTATATAGAACCATTTATATATAGTTCCATCAATCTGAAGACCCCCTTCACGATGCAAAGAACCCTTTATTCATGGAAAGGCTTCTTTGAGTGTTCATGGTTCTATATAGAACCACTGTCTTTACTAAAGAACCCTTGAAGAACCATTTTTTGAGAACCATCATTTAAAGTGTGTAGAATCATCAATAAACATGTGGATTCAGTCATCGAGTCATCCTTTACACAAATTTACAGCAGAAATCTGGTTGAATTTTTCCAAAAAAATGGTCAGAAAATGTAAACAGATGTAAAGAACGTGAAAATGTTGCTTACTTACCATGTCCACAGGTTTGTGTGAGCGAGCCCGGGTCAGTGGTGCTGCAGATTAGGGCTTTATGTGGCACATCTTATCAGTGGGCTGCTTATAAAAAGAATGTAGTGCCTCTTTCAGTCCCCTAAAAGGCCACTCAGAGGCTCCCCAAAACAGCAGCCATGATAAGCACGTAAGTAGCCAGATGCCTGAGAGGCAGGACATGAGATAGGGAAAGAGAGAGATGGGTGTGAAGAAGAGGGAGGGGTGGAAGACAGTGGGCTCAAAGGGGAATTCCACCGATTGTGTAAAATTTCTACATAATTAAATAGTTAAGATGTAAACAAAGTCATTCAGAGTGGTTTGATGTGAAATGCTCTGTTCTGGGGAGACTTACAGAGTCAGAATTGTTCACAGTGGTGGTGATGGGAACCAGACGTCTAAAGAGTTTAATGCTTCTAAAAGCTCCCTCACAGAAAGTTAGTACATGTAGTGGTTGCAAATGTGCTGCCTGATGTCTGAGGTATTGTTTTATGATAGTTTTGAAAATGTTTTGGATGAAAGTACATTTTTTAATATATTCACAGAGGTGCAGTTGTCCACTACATCATCATCAATCATTACATATTGTCACCGTCCAAAGAAAAACATCTATCTATTTATCTTTTTTTTTTTTTATTTCAACTTCTCCACATCATTAGAACATGGCAACAGTGCACTGTTAGAAATAAAGGTTCTGTGCATGTATGTTTTTCATTCATCAAGGTACAAACAATATAAATGTTACCATAAAGGTACAACAGTGGTTTAAAGGTCTAATTGTGCACTTTAAATATGTTTTTCCAGGTAAAAAAGTTCATTTGTACATTTTTTATAACTTAATATTTTAAAAGTGAACAATAAAATAAAAAGCCTGGAGACGAGACGGGGTGTTTGGAGTCAATACAACTTAGAAAATATAATTTCAGTGGATTATGGTGCAGTTATGTTCCCTGTCTAAAGGTACTGAGATGTATCCTTAAGGGAACCACCCCTGTGACAAGAGGGGCACTGCTCCAAAATTGCTTGAAATAAAATCTCTTTAAATTAACTTACATTGAAAGCAAAGATTTTTTTTTGCCTTCTCCTGAAAACCATTTGGAGATTGTTTTCCTTTGAACAGCAATGATATAAAACCTCATTTTTTCAGAAAAAAAAGACTAAATTGTCACTGGGTGTAACCTCAGGAGAGTACCTCTTCAGTACACTCTTAAAAAAAGATGACTCTTAAAGGGTTCTTTAGTAAAGGGAGTGGTTCTACATAGACAGTGATTCTTTGCATGGTGAAATGGTTCTTCAGATTGATGGAGAATGTGTTGTATATGGTTAGGAAAATGGTTCTATATAGCACCAAAATGGTTCTTCTAGTATTACAACACCAACCAAAAAAGATGGTTCTTCAAGGTTTCGTTAGTAAAGAAAATGGTTCTATATACACTCAAACAACCCTCAAAGAACTCTTTGCACAATTAAAGGGTTCTTTACACTGTGAACCAGTTCTTCAGATTGATGGAGAAGGGTTCTTCTATTGTTATAAAAAATGTTCTATATAGAATCATTTAAAACACACTATCAATCTGAAGAACTCTTTCATGATGCAAACCATGCAAAGGGTTCCTGGTTCTATATAGAACCATTTTCTTTACTAAAGAACCCCTGAAGAACCATCTGTCTAAGTGTATAAAGCCATTTCCTTTACTAAAGAACTCTTGAAGAAACATCAAAGTCTGAAGCTTGACATACAAGAAAGATGCATAGAACCATATACAACACATTCTCTATTCATCTGAAGAACCATTTCATGCTTACATAATTCTTTGCATGGTGAAACGTTCTTCAGATGAATGAGGAATGTGTTGCATATGGTATATACAATATATATTCTATATATAACCCATGGTTCTTAATAGAACCATTCCCTTTGCTAAAGAACTCTTGAATAACCATCTTTTTAGGAGTGTACCTTTAGTTAGGGAACATAATTGTGCCATAACCCAGTTCTCTTTTTTTTAAGTTGTCTTGACTCCAGGCCTTCAATTTTATCATTCTGTTTTAAAACAAAAGGTTATGAAAAGTACAAATATGTACTTTTCCACTTTGATAAACTGATCAAAGGTACACAACTGGACCTTAAAACCACTGTTTTCCCCTGAAACTGTACCTTTTAAAAGATGTGGATTGGGTTTTAGGTCATATGCTTCCAGAGTGAGATGCTGTTGTACTGAGTTGAGAAGGCGCTAAAACAGGAATGTCAACTCAGCAAGCCGAGTTTAGCCCTGATCTAACATACCTGATCGTCCAAATCAAAGCGGTCAGGAATATGTGAACGTTAGAGGTTGAAACCAAATATTTTAGAAGGGTAGATTTCCAGAAGTAGTTTTGGGAAGTACTGTGCTAGAACAAATCGTTTGAAGTTTAAGGACTAAAATATTTGTTGTCCTCAGGTTGCGTTCATATCCCATCTCTCATCTTTAATGGATTTTGGCCTGCATTTACTGTCACATTAGTGTTTCTCTCTACTTTTATTACCCTAAGTATTTTTTAATGAGCCACGCTGGAGTCACTCACTTTGCTGACAGTCAGGTCCACAAGGTCAGCATATGTGTGAGAGAAAATGGATATGAGTTTCTGTCAGGTTCAGATTGAATTTTGTCAGGCTATAGTCAGGTTCAGACAGACTTTTGTTGGGCAACAGTCAGAATTTAGTCAGGCTATAGTCAGGTTCAGACTGACTTTTGTTAGGCTACAGTCAGAATTTTGTCAGGCTATAGTCAGGTTCAGACTGACTTTTGTTAGGCTACAGTCAGAATTTTGTCAGGCTATAGTCAGGTTCAGACAGACTTTTGTTGGGCAACAGTCAGAATTTAGTCAGCTACAGTCAGATTCAGACAGAATTTTTCAGCTACAGTCAGATTTAGACAGAATTTTTCAGCTACAATCAGATTTAGACAGAATTTTGTTAAACTAGTCAGATTCAGACAGAATTTTGTTAAGCTTCAGTTAAATTCAGACAGATTTTTGTTTGACTACAGTCAGAATTTTGTCAGGCTATAGTCAGATTCAGACAGACTTTTGTTGGGCTACAGTCAGATTCAGACCGACGTTTATTGAGCTACAGTCAGAATTTTGTCAGCTACAGTCAGATTCAGACAGAGTTTTATTTGGCTACAGTCAGAATTTGGTCAGCTACAGTCAGATTCAGACAGGATTTTATCAGCTACAGTCATATTCAGACAGGATTTTATCAGCTGCAGTCCGGTTCAGGTAGAATTTCGTTAGGCTACAGTCAGATTCAGACAGACTTTTGTAAGGCTACAGTCAGATTCAGAAAGATTTTGTTTGACTACAGTCAGAATTTTGTCAGGCTACAGTCAGATTCAGAAAGATTTTTGTTTGACAACAGTCAGATTCAGACAGAAATTTATCAGCTACAGTCAGATTCAGACAGAGTTTTGTTTGACAACAGTCAGAATTTTGTCAGGCTATAGTCAGATTCAGACAGACTTTTGTTGGGCTACAGTCAGATTCAGACCGACGTTTATTGAGCTACAGTCAGAATTTTGTCAGCTACAGTCAGATTCAGACAGAGTTTTATTTGGCTACAGTCAGAATTTGGTCAGCTACAGTCAGATTCAGACAGGATTTTATCAGCTACAGTCATATTCAGACAGGATTTTATCAGCTGCAGTCCGGTTCAGGTAGAATTTCGTTAGGCTACAGTCAGATTCAGACAGACTTTTGTAAGGCTACAGTCAGATTCAGAAAGATTTTTGTTTGACTACAGTCAGAATTTTGTCAGGCTACAGTCAGATTCAGAAAGATTTTTGTTTGACAACAGTCAGATTCAGACAGAAATTTATCAGCTACAGTCAGATTCAGACAGAGTTTTGTTTGACAACAGTCAGAATTCTGTCAGCTACAGTCAGATTCAGACAGAATTTTGTCAGGCAACAGTCAGATTTAGACAGAATTTTGTCAGGCTTCAGTCAGATTTAGACAGAATTTGTTGGCCACAGTCAGATTCAGGCAGAATTTTGCTGGGCTACTACAGTGAGGTTCAGACAGAATTGTGTTGGGCTACAGTCAGATTCAGACAGAATTGTGTTGAGCTACAGTCAGATTCAGGCAGAATTTTGTTGGGCTACACTGAGGTTCAGGCAGATTCAGAGAGAAGTTTGTCAGCTACATTGAGATTCAGAATTTTGTGAGGCTACAGTTGGGTTGAGATGTAATTTTGTTAGTTACAATCAGGTTTATAGAAAATTTGTCTGACTACAGTTGGGTTTGGACAGAATTTTGCTGGACAACTCAGCTATGGGTCAGATCAGGCCTGGTCAGACTCGGACAGAGAATGTTCTTGGGTTATATTCAGGTTTGCTTAAAAACATAAGAACTTTTCTCATATTACAGGTCAGTTCAGTAAGAATTTTGTCAGCTACAGTCAGATTCAGCTGGACTTTTTTGGATACAGTCAGGTTCAGGTTTTTGTCAGCTGCAGTCGGACCTGGACAGAATTTTGTTGGACTACAGTCAACTATGGGTCAGATCAGTTGGGGTCAGACTCAGGCAGAGGATTTTCTTGGGTTATATTTAGGTTTGCTTAAAAACTTATGGCCCATTTCGGTGAGGCTCAGCAGGATGCTAGGCCTGCATTTCTGGAAGCTGCTTTGGAGCAATAAAACAGAATTGGCGCACTGAGTGGTCTACTACTGTCTGGGCATCAAATTCCAATTCAGGTACATTTCTTATTTCCTGGCATGTTCTGTCTTACAGGTTGGTGTACATAGTTTTAAGAATCTTTCACCTCCTGACGGACTCGTCCTCTTTTAAAGAGACAGGCTTCCTTCTGGCTGCAAGAAACCTGCGATATTTCTACAGGATGCCACTCACTCTTACCAAACAAGAGTCACACTCCTTCACTGTTTTCCTTGGCAATTTTGCCCCATTTAGCAAATCCAGCTGGGCACTTACCTCAGGGCCAAGGTAAGTGTTTTCCATATCAAGTGCGCAGATTTTACAGACGTCCAGGGTGACAAGGTCGCCATAGTGA